CGGATCTCTGAGTTCAAAGCCAGCTTGGTCTACATAGCAAGTTCCAGGCCAGCTGGGGATACAGGGAGACGCTGTCTCAAAAAGACACACAGAAAAGGATTTTTTTTTGTCTTTTTTTTGAAGCAGGGTCTCCCTGTAGCCCCAGCTGACCTGGAACTCACTATGTAGAGCAGGCTGGCCTTGAACTCACAGAGATCTGCCTGCCTCTTCCTCCCAAGTGCTGGAACTACAGGTGTGCACCAGCACGCCCAGCTTAAGTATTTTTTTCCTTCATAAAAAGCCAAAATACTAAGGAATCTTGATTGCACCCAAACTAAAATCTTCATAATTTGGGGAATCTCCTTCAGGGCAGCTCAGTAGCATTGTGACTACAGGAGGGATCTGTGATGTCATGGGATCCCTCTTACACTATAAGTCCTTAAGTCTCTAGGATTTACTAGTTTAGGAGGTCTATAGCCTTAATGGCTATAAACATCATTAGATTCTTCACCTTTCTCATTGGTTAAGAAGTAACCTGATATTTCTCACGCTACTCTGGATTTAATGATCGAAGCTTGATAAGAAAAGAAAATGAAATGCTACTTTATTCCTTAATATTATTCCTCATATGCTAGTTGAGGAAGCCAACTCTTGACCACTAAAGAAATATCACAAATAATTCATCAGCAGCAGTGGCAGGTGGCATGGTTCAGGGACTAAAGAAATTAAACACAGGACTTTGGCTTTGTAGAAGAAATTTTATTGTTACTTTGTAAAATGGAGTGTACTATTCATTTTTAATTTTTTCTCAGTTTAAAAACTAGAAATTGCACATATTATTGTTTGTTTGGCTTTCATACATATAAATGAAGATACTGGTTGAATTATTGTCTAAATTATGGTTCCATATTTGCTTTGCTCTAAGGACACATGATGCTCTGGATGTTGAGGGACAAGCCTTGATCCATATATAAAGACTGTCCAGGTTTTTGCTCCAATGATATATCCTTCTAAGCTAAGACTTTAAAACTTACAGTGGCATTAGTGTATGATTTATAAACAGTCCAAAGAGTCAGGATCCCTGCTCTGCACAATCATATCTTTGTCTAGTACCAATGGAGTGAAAGCAGGTGGATTCCAAGAGAGCAGGTTGAAACCTTGACTCCTCAATCCACTGGCTATGTACTTTGGGCAAAATTACTTCACCTCTTCAAGCCTTAGCTTTCTCCTCTGTAAAACGAGCTAATATTGATCTCATAAGCTGGTTAGGAAGATTAAACGGAATAATACACTTACAGTGCTCAACTGAATATCAGGCCAGCATTCACTAAAAGGTAAGTAATACTAATGATTATTCCACAAGGCAACAATTTTTCAAGAAATGGATTCAAGCAAGATCTTCAGGGGAAAAAAAAACGGAATCTGACTTGCTTCCTAACCTTTTGAGATTCTTTTCCTCCTTAAATTTACCACCTTTATTCAAGATAAAGTCTCACTATGTAGCCCAGACTAGCTTGGAACTCATTATATAACCCGAGCTGGCCTTGGGCACGTGATCTTAATGCCTCAGTCTCCAGAATTCTAGAATTACTGGCATGCCCAGCCATGCCTGGATTAAATTCACGGTTTAACTCCTGGTATTGGGCTAGAGAAATGAGTGTCACTGAAGCAGATAGTCTAACTACTTTGGACTCTAAACACAAATAGCTGATCTGTTTCTCACAGAATAATGAGCAAAATACGTATGCACCACTGACTTCTGACCTGCCTGAAATGTGTATGTGAAATCCTTTTTGGAAGTCAATGATCTTCTGTGATTCTTGCTAACTTAGGGTTAGCAGAAATCTAGTTTAAATAATCATCCTAAAACTTTAAGAAATGTGGTCCTGCCCTCATCTCCCTCTGCTTCCCTGGGCTGCACAACCTACCAGGCTCTTTCCTGGACACCGGGTCTGACCGCTTAGCCTGGAACCACCACTGCTTCCTGATCCCTTTCATCCAGACGAACCCAGTTCCTTCTTGTAGTGTCCAGGAGCCCTTTGGGCCTGGTCCCACCCTCACCTCTCCCTGCTTCCCTGGGCTGCACAACCTGCCAGGCTCTTTTCTGGACACTGGGTCTGACTTCTCTGCAGGGAACCACCACTGCTTCTTGATCCCTTGCATCCAGACTAACCCAGTTCCTTCTCTAGGTCCCCAGGAGCCCTCTGGGCCTGGTCCCACCCTCACGTCCCTCTGCTTCCCTGGACCTGCATAACCTGCCAGCCTCTCTCTTGGGTAAGTCCATCGGGCCCTCTGTGCCTTGACTCCCCCAGCCTCATTCACCCTCCCATCTCCCCTGTCAATCTCTCCTCCTACCTAGCCTGGGTCCTGTCCCATTCCTTGTCTTAGCATCCCAGACACCAGGGTAACCACCACTGATTCCTGATCCTTTGCATCCAGACCAACCCAGTTCCTCCCTGCAGTCCCCAGGAGACCTTGGGATCTCTTCCTGCCCCCATCTCCTTTGCATCTCTGGGTGGCACAACCACCAGCTGCCCGAGACCAGCATCTTTCCTGGGCTCTGCTCCCAGGCCAGTCCAACCACCAAATTCCTGAGGGCAACATCTTTCCTGGAGGGATTCAGACCTTTGGAGAAAGCCTGAGAGCATCTGATCCTCATCTGACATGGGCCTCTATGGGAACTCCTGAAGACAAAAGCAATCTGGTCACTCCAATATAAAATAAAAAGAGAGAACAGAAAGCTTAGACAAACCAGCTTTTCATGCCCAAAAAGTAAACCACAAAGGCACATAAAATTTACAAAAAGAAGCAGACCTAAACTTGAAGGCTTGGGTGTCACACAAGAACCAGAAACTACAAAAGAAATTCACATGTCAAAAACACAGCAAAAAAATAATAACATGAACAAC